ATTATCTACATCCTCAAAGTACTTTGGCACTTTGAAACCATGTCCAATATTTTATTTAAAAAATCATCTAGCATGCAAAGAAACATGACCAATGAATAAAAATCTACAGGAAATAGAAAGAAAACAGGTGATAGAGACAGACCCATAAGATGTGTAGATATTGGAGTTATTGGTCACAACATTTAAAATAACTGTTATTAATATAGTCAAGGAAACAGATGATACAGTTAATTTCATAGGTAATTAAATCTATCTAAAAAAACTGGATACTCTAAAACTGAAAAATGCATTATAATGAACAGTTGGTAATTTGAGAAAAAGAACTTTAAAAAATATTCTTTTTGTATTTTGACTGAATTCTAAGCAAACTCTATCTTTGAAGTTAATTAAAATATACAGCTGTGTAACAATAAGGGCCTATAGTTTAAAACAGAATTTCGAATCTTTAGTTAAACAACACAGGAGCTACAACCTCAGGAAAAATAACTTAATTATTTAAGGGAATCCATGCCTCCACAAGTCTTCTCTCCAATATGATTCTAGAAAACAACAGAGTATTGGTGAAGAAACATTGAATATTAAGAGCAAATCTGTATTCATTCTTATTTTAAGCAGCAGTCGTACTTCCCTATTTCAATCCCACTCTAAACAAGATTGTTACAACTGTAAATGCATTTTCTTATTTATTGATCATTCATCATTTAGTTTGCACTACAAAAAAAATCATGCTATTGAAGAAAAGGCAATATTTGCAGCATGAAAGGATTGGAGGTCATGTACGTGCTTAGCATGGTTGGCACATTTAAATACTGAGATAAATTGAATGAGGGCATTGAAAATGAAATTTACCTAACTGAATTCATTCAATCCATTACTACTTTTAAAGTAAAATTTAATTGTAATTAAAATTTACAATTTTAAACAAGTCCCAAATTGGTGGTAGGTTTTGTGTAAATCAGAATTTTTCTTCTTATTCACATAAAACATAATGAAACAAAACAAAGCTGGTGTTAGCCTATTAGAAGAAACTTATTACAGAAAGAATTACACTTACTTCCCTATCTATAATTCAGTAAGTTTAGCTTGGACAGGAACAGAACATTTTATTCCTTGTAATTATATGTTCTTAGAATTTAGTTAGCTCTCCAAATGAAGTAGGAATACCTCTCCTATCTATACTTGTAATTGTGTGATATGACAAAGTCTAACAAGCAAGATTCTTAAACAGCCAATATTAAGAAATACTTATTGGAAAAACAAATGAGACATAGATTTGTGAATTGTTTTACATAATCTCTTTAGGCAGGGAAAATGGTTGAGATGTCTTGGGATCATCAAATTAAATTCTGGATTTATCCTTAACTAGCTCTGTGACCTCAAGTATGTCATTTAATCTCTCTGACTTAGCTTGCTCAGCTACAAAATGAAGATGATCATGTATGATCTATTTCCATAATTAAGTCATAAACATTTATTGAACAGCTTCAATGTACCAACGCTATTGTAAAATGCTTAGGATATTAAAGCTATAGGAAATTGTTGAGGAATTAAACGCTATAATGCATATGAAAGTACTTTGAAAATGATAATACATTACACAAACTACTATTTTATGCTATCATGTGGTTAGGAATATTTTTCTAGCAGTACCAGGAGCTTCTAGCTGTCACCCCAAATGCAAGGGGACTCTCTTATGACAAATTTTACAAATAATAATTTGCCTTAGCAAAATAAAATATATAACAATTATTGGGAAGAAAAAAGTGGTAGACTAGAAAAGTAGAAACTGCTTTCTATCTAGAACAAAGAAAGAACTGAAAGGCAAATTAAAGTAAAGTGAATAATAAAGTAAAAACGACTTCTTTGAACTCCAAGTGCAGAGGGAAGACATTCTTCACGACAAGAGCCTGGGAATATCAAGAAAGCATTAAATTTGCCTGTCATCTTGAAATTCCCCATAACAAAACAGGAAAACCATAACAGAACTTTTTTCTTTGATTAAAATGAAGAAAAGGCCTTTAAAAATACCAACCTAGACCAGAGAATAGGAAGAATCAACTGTTACTCTGCAACGTGAGATACCCTTTGAGAACAGTGTAAAGAAAGATGACACTTTCGATAATAAAGACTAGCAAGTGAAACCACAATAAGAACACACACTTCTGTTTTGACAAAGCCTCCAGCTGGTGAGACCTAAGTCCTCACACTTACTGACCTTGCGTCTTTCCAGAAACTTGACCAGTGTTGGTTGAAACCGTTGAAAACAAACATTTCAAAACACCACTGTGCAGTTCCAGCAATATACTAGATTGCAATGAAAACTAGAAATGAGTAAGTTCTTTTGAGAATTTTTCTCTCGGTGTCCAGGGAGTGTGACATAAAAATATGATGGGCTCTGATATAAAAACATAGCCCTGATTTTAGCTCTTTGAGGAATCGCCAATGGCTGAACTGCTTTCCCCAATGGCTGAACTAATTTACACTCCCAACAGCGGTGTATAAGCATTCCCTTTTCTCCACAACCTTACCAGTAAAACTACATTCAGGCCAGCAATCCCATTACTGGGTATATAACCAAAGGAATATAAACCCATGTAACCAAACATCACCTGTTTCCCCAAAACCTATTGAAACAAAAAACTGGGTAGAGCAAAGAGAATTTTTAGGGTAGGAAGGATGCTGTATGACACTATAATGATGGATGCATGACATTATACATCCTTAAAACCCTTAGAAAGTTCAGCATCAAGAGGGAACTCTAATGTAATCTAAGAACTTTGAGTGACATTGATGCGTCAATGTCAATGTAGGTTCATCTATTGCAACAAATGTGCCACTCTGGTGGGGTACATTGATGATGGGGGAGGATGTTCAGCAGGGGAAGAAGACTATGTTCAAACTCTCTGTATTTTCTGCATCATTTTGCTGTGAATCTAAAACTACTCTTAAAAAATAAAGTCTATTAATTAAAAAAAATAAATAAATCATTCTGCCACAAAGACACATGCATGTGTATGTTAATTGCAGTACTATTTATAATAGCAAGGACATGGAATCAGCCTAAACAGCCACCAATGATAAACTGGATAAAAAAATCAGGTACACACACACCATGGAATACTATGAGGCCATAAAAGAAATGGGATCACGTCTTCTGCAGGGACCTGGATGTAGTTGGAGGCCATTATCCTTAGCAAACTATTGCAGGAATGGAAAACCAAATACCACATGTTCTCACTTATAAGTGGGAGGTAAATGATGAGAACGCATGGGCACAAAGAAGGGAACAACAGACACTGGGGCCTACTTGACAGTGGAAGGTGGGAGGAGGCAGATCAGAAAAAATAACTATCGGCTGGGTGCGGTGGCTCACGCCTGTAATCTCAGCACTTTGGGAGGCCAAGGCGGGAGGATAACCTGAGGTAGGGAGTTCAAGACCAGCCTGACCAACATGGAGAAACTCCATCTCTACTAAAAATACAAAAATTAGCTGGGCATGGTGGTGCATGCCTGTAATCCCAGCTACAAGGGAGGCTGAGGCAGGAGTATCTCTTGTACCCAGGAGGCAGAGGTTGTGGTGAGCCAAGATCCGGCCATTGCACTTCAACCCAGGCAACAAGAGTAAAACTCCATCTCAAAAAAAAGAAAGAAAGAAAAATAACTGCTGAGTTCCAGGCTTAGTACCTGGGTGAGAAAATAATATATACAACAAAACCTCCATGGCATGTGTTTCCCTGTATAACAAACCTACACATGTACTCCTGAACCTGAAATAAAAATTGAAAAAAAAAAAAACCATACACTTGGACAAAGAAACACCAAGTAGGACATAGTCTATAATTATATCCTACTTACTCAATTGCCCCAAGTAAATGAAAAATTTCATTAAAAAGTTTTTACAGTAATTAAAATATCTGACATATCTGACAAAAAATAAGGGGGCTATATAAATCTGACATAAATTTTAGAGTTGGCCTATTTGATTGTAATTAAATTATGCTACATTTTACGGAATAGATGAATTTCAGAAGATTTGACCAAAGTGAATTCTTTCTTGATCCTCAATATTCCTTTTATAATCTGGGATTCATTTCTCAAGGAAAAAGTAATCCCTCAGTTGAACATAAGATATCAAGTCTGTATTATTATAAATATCCATTAACCTATGGGTTAATAATGCTCATTATTAATTCTCACTGTTTAGGTTTCTCTCATAATTAGAGACTATCTAAAACATTACATTTGTAGTTCCTGGAACTTTATTTTTAATATTCTTAGTCCAACAGGTCTTAATTACTTTGTCAAAAGAGTTGGAAATCAAACACACAGTTATTCCAGTCTAAATATTTTGTAAATTTAAGGCTACAATTTAGTAAATTTTCATTCTTTACTTTGTCAGTTTGTTAAAATGAAACAAACCATAAGTTTAAATTCCCTTGTTCTTTCTGTCACTTAGATCTCTAATTTATCTTTCCTATCCAGTTTCAATAAACATTAGTCAAAGGGATTGTAAGCTCAGCTCTCCTGGAACTATCTCAGTACTGGGTCATTGAGCCACATAAGTTTTCGTCTCTATAAATGCTTTTGAAATTAGAACCAAAATATAACACAGAAATCAACAAGGTGAAAAAAAAAAAAAACTAACAAAATACATAAATACAAACATTTAGATTTAGATGAGAAATTCCTCCAAATTGGATGTTTTTTTCTTAGATGCATTTCACTCTACTCAATAATTACTCAATATAATTACTCAATAATTTTATGAAATTGATGGGTCCTGATGCCAACAATATCAGAAAACAAAACAAAAGAGCTAACAATCAATGCACCCAGAAGATTAAAACTAACCAAAACATTTTTTATTAAGCAAAAGAAACCAAGAGGCAAGAAAATGATTCGAGGATCATGGCTGTAAAATGTCCCTTTCTTGACACTTGGAGGAAAGGCAGCAGTCAAGAACAAGGGGAAGGGAAAGAAATTATCAATACATCACTTACTTCTTTGTATCCGAAGATGATGCGTCCATCTATGAGCAGGGTTGCCTGGAACGTGAAGCTTCCCAGGTTGTAATTATCCTGGAGATGTACGTGGTCCCACTGGACCACAAGTGCTGTGCCTATACACCCATTGTAAAAAGAAGAAATGCAATGAGAAAAACATATGTATCAATTCTGGTGGGAGTTTTCACAAAAATGTTTTTGCATCTGGCCTTCAAATCTGATGATTGTACGATTTCAATTTTATGTGGTTAATCAAATTCTGTTATTGAAATAGTATTTGGAATTTCTTTAAAGGATTGAGTAGTCTAAATATTTAGTAAAATATAACCTCATACTAAGGTCAATACTTGAGCTAACACAGTGTGGGGGAATTTTGCCTTTGGAATTTTGTTAATCTAATGTTAATAGATACTGTCTGCTTAAATTTCCATAAGCCACTTTCAAAATGCAGCCCAAGTGGATTGAATGTACTTCAAATACATTTGACAAATGCTGAGAGAGAAAAAAAGCACATTAAAAAAGTTAGGACCACGTACAAAAGACCTGAAAATGTTTTTCCATACTTAGAAATATACTTTTCCACATTGAAGGAGTTCCTTTAACACTAATGGGAATTTTCTCCTTGAGTTCACAACGCTTGTGTTTCTGTCTTTGCTGTGTTTCTTCCAGGAGGCTGCAAGAAGCTCAAAAGGCCCTGGGCTAAGATTTCGAAGCCTCTTGAAGTACACTGGGATGAAACTTCAGTGCCGTATATTACATTCCAACTCACTCTGTCAGTGTTTACTATAAACAATTGACATGAAATAAAAACTGAAACAGTTTAATAGTTACCAGTGAGAATTCACATTTTTGTTTTAACTGACATTGTGTATTCTCTTTTTTAAAAAAGAAAAGAGCTGCTAAGACTTTTTCTTCACTGTGTTAGATTTTTCCGTTTGGTTAAAAAAAAATTATTGCCCAAAAAAGCTGTGTTGAAAATGAAAATCATAGAACTAAAAGAGCAAATCTTATCTCCCAGCAATAAATATCTGATGTATTTAAAAATTACAACTGCATGGAAGAATTAATTTTCAGTAATTATTTGGTGCTATTAGTAATATCTCTTGAGATAGCTGACAGCTTTAAATAGACACTTTATTTCAAATATTTTGAATATTCAATTGTAAGCCCTGAAAGGATGTTGAAGTATAGAAATGTACTTTGAAGCAAAACTTTAAAAGTAGAAAAGAAAAAAAAAAGTTTTTTAACTTGACCTTGGTGCTTTTAGCCATTATCACTGCTATGAGTGAAGATCACCCAGAGCTCTTCCTTCCACGGGCATCTCTGTGTCTATATTGTCCTGGAAGGAGGGAGGGAGGAAGGGAGGAAGGAAGGAAGGAAGGAAGGAAGGAGGGAAGGAGGAAGGAAGGAAGGAAGGAAGGAAGGAAGGAAGGAAGGAAGGAAGGAAACAAACGAAAGAAAGAGAAGAAAAAGAAGAAAGAAAAAGAAAGAAAGAAAGAAAGAAAGAAAGAAAGAAGGAAAGAGAGAAAGAAGAGGAAGGAAGGAAGGAAGGAAGGGAGGAAGGGAAAAGAAAAGAAAGAAGGAAGGAAGAGAAAAGAAAAGAAAAAAGAAAAGGAAAGAGCAAGAAGACAATAGCCAGGAAACTTCCCATGATTTTATAAGTATAGGAATTTTCTAATTGTGAAATGCCTCCTAGCTTCTTTTTCCTTCACACATGTCTACAACCCTCAAGCTCTAGTCTCTCCCTTATCCTCTAGCTTCTATCGCACTCTGGTGATGCAGTGAAAACAATGAACCAGAGGGCAGAAGACTTAGACTCGCACCTTGTCTCTATAAAACTTTCCATGTGAACTTGGACACAATTAATCTGCATGAAACCGTTTCCTTTCCTGTAACATGGGGAGTACAGTTTTTGCCTTCAAGCGATTCCGGCATTAAATACAAGAAAATATAGTTACCCTTGACTATTTATGAAAATAAGAGGGCTATATAAATTAAAGTTTTTAATGCAAATTCTGAGGGAGAGATTCCCAATATTTTGTTAGTAGCAGGTTGCTAAAAAGCACACTGTTGGCCCGGCGCGGTGGGTCACGCGCCTGTAATCCCAGCACTTTGGGAGGCCGAAGCGGGTGCATCAGGGATCAGGAGATCGAGACTATCCTGGCTAACACGGTGAACCCCGTCTCTACTGAAAATAATAATTAAAAAAAAAAAAGGAGCCGGGCGTGGTAGCGGGTGCCCGTAGTCCCAGCTACTCGGGAGGCTGAGGCAGGAGAATGGCGTGAACCCGGGAAGCAGAGCTTGCAGTGGGCCGAGATCGCGCCACTGCACTCCAGCCTGGGTAACAGAAGGAGACAGAGCGCGACTCCGTCTCAAAAAAAAAAAAAAAAAGGCATACTGTTTGCACGTGCTAAATTTTATATTATGTAATAGCATAGCTCTCTCCACATTTGCTGATTTAAATTTTCTAACCTGCTGCTGTCTTCTCTAGAGAAGTCTGCTTTCCTAAATTGTTGAATTTCCAATCTTTAAGTATCCTGTCAGTGATTCTAGCCAAACTTGAAAATATTTCAGCAAGTTGTTGTGGTATTAAAAGGGCTTTGTGAAGAGCCTTACAGTATTTAAAAGTGTTTCATTCATTCAATAAAACACAAGCTTTCATTATCATATTGTTTGAACTCAATATTCCTCAATATTAGATTCCTACGGAATAAGTCATTACACAGAAGGTATTTCAATGGGTAAAAAATACATGCTTTCTTGAGTATTAATACTTTTACAATTCCCAGAAATAAAAACTCAGTTTACATATGTAATTATTTTTATTCATTCATTGAATAATTATTTAGGACCTACAGCCTATTAAGTATCTATACAGGATACTGGAGATAAAATGATTTCTTATAAATAGCCACAGTCCTTGTTTTTAAAGAACCTAGAGTTCAGTTGGAGTAGTATACATCAATTTTTAACAATCACTCAAATGCAAGTAAAATTCAAATACTAAGAGCTACCTAGGAACAAGGTATATGAGAATATATGTAGAGAGACTTATTTAATATGTCTTATGATTTTGATAGCAACAGTATAAAGTCTTGGTCATTAGAATCATGTGCCCATGAGTAAATGACCCTAATATCACCTAGTGAATGTCGGAGCTTGGAAAATAGTCAATGTTCACTAAATCTTTCATTATTTCCATAGGATAGATTCCCAAGGCAATTTTGTATTGGAATGATAGAGCAAGTTTCAGATAAGTTTCTGGCTGCAGTTTTGCCTCAAGAATACTGTATTTACAGTCTACTTGCACATCCTTGGGTGTTAGCACCTCATGAGTTTTTAAAAAATGGAAGAGAATATAATAGTTCTTAAAATAATAGAGATGAATCATTATTACAGCTAACATTTACAGTTACTTCATATTGGATCATATCTTGGTGTTACTCAAGTTGTTCAAAGTGTATTTCCTAAGGTGAATATCTAACTATGTTTAGTTTCTTCATTGTGCTATTTCGACCTGTAAAATGGCTTTCATTACACTGGTCAGGAGATTGCTCTGAGCAAAATGATCGTATTTCTCCAAGGCTACAGCTACCATCAAGTCTATTCCAACCATGAGCAAATTTCTTCCTTGATCATCACAAATAAGACAAGAGTAGAAATAACTCTGTTCACCCCAATTGCTTGTATTATTTGCAGGCATAAAATTGTCATTTGAACAAATAAATATCATTTGTGAATGTTAAATACACAGAAAATTCTATACTTAATTAATCGTTCAAATATAAACTCTTTGTTACTTATAATTTATTTTCTCTACCAAAGTTACAGCTTTCAATAAGATGTTGAGATGAAAACTCATTTAGGTCTCCAATGCCTTGAATTTCTTGCTTGGATTTTGGCAGCACTTAATGATATATTCCAGTTTTTTCTCTATTTTATATGTCCCAAAATAGTAATAGCAGGTATATATTGCTCTTGGTATATTTGATAAATCTTAACAGGCTCTCACTCATTTTTTAAAGTTAAGAAAACTTTATTTTCTTAAGTTGAACTACCCACAACTAACTACTTTATACTTTTTAAAATATGTGTTCATCTTATGGATACATACAAGTCATAAGTTCTGGAAATTTAATGTCAATATATGCCACCTCCCTCTACTGGAAAATCAGAATTAACAAAATTATTCTTATTTCCATTTTTTCTGATGGGAAAATTGGAAAACTGACTTATTGAAATAGTATCAAATAAATTCATTTGCTTTGTCTGAGGTCTTGTCTACAGCAACTCATTTTTATTGTGTATAGTAGATGTTAATAAACGTGTTGAATGAATGAATGAATGCCATTTGTGTACTTTATAAATCTTAGCAGAATAACATTTGTCATCTCAGACCATTTGCATCAAGCAGTTTACACACCAAAAAATAAACAATTAAGAAAAACATTAACAGGAATCTGATGCTTGAGGTTTAAAAATACACATGCAGCAAAAAAAATAGGCTATTCAATACATACCATTATCAAAATATCTGACAGTTGAATTTCTGGATACACTGGGATCAAAATTTGCCATTAAAGGTGCTATGTACTGTGTGGCTGTTAGCATTCGATGTACAACTTCTCCAGTGTATATGAAACCTAGAATTAGAAAAATAGGAAACATATTCAGAAAAAGAAGCCCATATAAAATTATGATTAAAATACTACAAACCCAATTACAGTCGTATTATGAAAATAAAATGTCATGGTAGCTGGAAAAAAAGGAACGTATTTAACATCTTAGTATCTTATTAACAATACTTGGTCTGGATTAAGTAACAAATTCTTGTATAATTTGGTAGAACCTTGCAAACCCAAAATCTATAACATGTACAATTTTAATTGGGGGAAAAGTGACTACTATATGGATGAGATTATTAGGCTAAAAATGCTAATACTGCATTATAAGTAACTCAAATATTCAATTTGCTGTTATTAATCCCTTGTTATTTTAACACTAGCTTACCACACAAGTCCTTTTAATGAGTGAATTCATTTTCATAATATTTATTTAAGCTACCATCTCAGCATAGGAATTTTAGAAATGACATCTGGTACAATGCAGAAAATGTTTTGATCTTTTTTTTTTACTTGAAAGTTGAAAGGGGGCTAAACACCCATGGTGAAGTTTTCACATTCTTGGTTTGCTCAAGCCTCTACATTATCAGCATGCTATCAAGAAGATAAAGTCTATATGTTTACAGATAAGGTGGTAAAACATTGACAATGCACAAATGCCTCCCTATTTAGAGATTTAATCAATGCCAGTCTATTCTAGCAGTTGGATAATGAGAAGGAATTTACTATGGAGGACTTTGGCTTTGAATTAACTTTCAATAGCTCCTATGTTACAAGTCTAACTCCCTTTCTATTATTCACAGTAGGTTTATTTACTTTGTGGATTATCCATGACAAATTGTTAATCCTGTGCTGGCTTCTTGCCTTCCAAGTCTTTAGCTGCCTGAAAGGAGAGTCAGCTCAGGGATTGCTAACTAATTTTAATATTAATCTAAGAAATACACAATTGAGATACATATGCAAATGCACACACACAAATAAAATGCAAGGCAAATTATTTGTGACAATGCAATTGTAATGTTTGGGCAGTCATGAGTTAATTAGATACCCGGCACTAATATAAATCATTTTATATTAATAAGATAATGATATTTAAAGCTCAAAAAATGTTAAACTTTGATAACTCATTTTATGGTCTGAATAAATATTTCATTGGCAGATTGTGGTCTTCATTGTTTCAAATTCCAACTGTGATGTCTAGGTAAGATATTACAGAATTAAACCTGTAGCTATTTACTTAGAAATTAATTTCTCTCTTTTTGGGAATATCTTCTTTCCTTTGACTACCTTTTAACATTTCATCAAAAGCATAATTGAACTCTAGCTATTCATCTTAAAAAATATTTTAACTGGAAAAATATTCAATGTGTACTTTTATCATCATGACTTCTTGTTTCTTATATGACTTATTGTTTCTTATTTACCAAGCACTATCTTTCAAAATAAATACCTGATGCTTTAAGCAGAATTTCGTACATTTGTAATTTCACCTAGCTGAAATGTATTAAAAATACTATGGTGATAAGGTCATTGCTTTTATTATACTTCCTTCTAGATTTTCAGTCATACTCCTAATATCAAAGTGCAATATCACATCCTTAACATTATAAACATGAAGAGTAACTGTTTTCCAGGGTCTCTATTTTTTCTCCTATCCTCACCAGCATGCATTTATAATCTATCATTAAAATGAATATGAAAATTCTATAGATACCATCTCTTAAGGGAAATGTTTGAATTAGACGCTGAAAGTGTTATTTCCGAGAAAATAGCTCCAAGCAGGTTATTTCTCTTCTTTATATTCTCCAAGTACAAACAGAAGAAACTGCATAACTTGGAGGATGGAGGTCAGTTATTCAAGGAAGATAATTTTACATAAGTACAAAATCCATTCTCGAAGACAACTTTGTAAGAAGAACACCAGCAATACCTAGAAATACACTGTTGCAAAATGTAAGAGCACTGATGATTTCAGACACTTCATACTTACTGCTAGTATTTAAATAAATAAAATATATATACTTTCCCCTCAATGTTTCTACATAGATTTGCTAAGAAACTATATATACTTTCATAGATTTGCTAAGAAACTTCTCTCCACTCTCAATAACCCAGTTTTCAGATGACAGAAACCATTAACTATTGTTTCTTTTGATGAGGAAACTGTTCCCCAAATCTACAATTTATCAAATGTCAAGGGTGAAATTTCAAATTGTTTCCAAAGAACTAAGTAGAAATATAGAAGAATTTGTTAACATGTATAAGCCACAGATATAGTTTTTAATTATTTTGTTACTAGAATATTAAAATAAGTTATGTTACTATGAGTATTATGGTTGCTACAACCACAGTGAACAAGAAACTGCTACCACAATTACTAGCATGTCTGGTACTCCTATTACTACTACCACTACTAGTACCACCACCACGAAGAATTACTATGAAAAAAAATAAAAACCCCAAGAAGGAAAAAAACCCTAGTACTCTGCAAAATGAGCTTAATTTTACTTATTCAGAGAATACTTGCTTGTTCTTCTTGGCTATATTGAAAGTTAATTATATCAATATCTCAGGTTAGTTTCTAACGACCAAGAAATAAAATTCTTGACTTCTTGGTGAAGCCCATCTAATGATAGGCTTTACCTAGTTCTCCTTAAGTTTCCAGATTTTAAAAATATCACTTCAGTAGTGGTTAATAATTGAGTGGAGAGAAGCCTTACAAGCTTGCAGGGGAATGTAATTAGGTGTTAAATAAGAAAGAGTTATGCAAATTAATGCAACAAAACTCCAAAGCTTTAAAGGCACTCATAGCTACCAACACCCCATTAGACATTTACTTCTTTTCTTTGACTGTTCTGGGCATTCCCAGCTAAAGATTATATATAAAATATATATTTATTTATATAAATACATATGTATATTTTATGTGTACATATATGTTACTTTTCTGGTTCTTAATGTTTTGGCGTAATTTAAGCAATATGTTTGCTTATTTATTTATTTATTTATATTTTTATTTTTTCGAGATGGAGTCTTGCTCTGTCGCCCAGGCTGGAGTGCAGTGGTGTGATCTCAGCTCACTGCAAGCTCCGCCTCCCCGGTTCACGCCATTCTCCTGCCTCAGCCTCCCGAGTAGCTGGGACTACAGGCACCCGACACCCTGCCCAGCTAATTTTTTGTATTTTTAGTAGAGACGGGGTTTTACCATGTTAGCCAGGATGGTCTCGATCTCCTGACCTCGTGATCCACCTGCCTGGGCCTCCCAAAGTGCTGAGATTACAGGCGTGAGCCACCGTGCCTGGCCTTTTTTTTTTTTTTTTAATTTTTTTTTTATATACACTTCAAGTTTTGGGATACCTGTGCAGAATGTGCAGGTTTGTTACATAGGTATACATGTGCCATGGTGGTTTGCTGCAACCGTCAATGTATCATCTACATTAGGTACTTCTCCTAATGCTATCCCTCCCCAAGGCCCCCACCCTCTGACAGGCCCCCGTGTGTGATGTTCCCCTCCCTGTGTCCATGTGTTCTCATTGTTCAACTCCCACTTATGAGTTAGAACATGCAGTGTTTGGTTTTCTGTTCTTGTGTTACTTTGCTGAGAATGATGATTTCCAGCTTCATCCATGTCCCTGCAAAGGACGTTAACTCATACTTTTTTATGGCTGCATAGTATTCCATGGGGTTTATGTGTCACATTTTATTTATCCAGTCTATCATTGATGGGCATTTGAGTTGGTTCCAAGTCTTTGATATTGTGAATAGTGCTGCAATAAACATATGTGTGCACGTTTCTTTATAGTAGAATGATTTATAATCCATCAGGTATATGTTTTAACCATTTTATTTACACATCTCTGTAGCCATTTGAAGAGCTAATCATACAATGTCTCCTTTGTTTACTATATGATTCTACTATAAATAGCACTCATTTGCTCATCTGCCTTTGCAGAAAAGTGGTCATTTATGAAGATAATTTGGGACTGAGAAAGATACCTTCATGTAAAAGAATCAAGTAAGAGAAGCAATGGCCTTCTTTGTCTCTTTTGATCTTTGATGGTTTAAAGTCTGTTTTATCAGAGACTAGCATTGCAACCCCTGCTTTTTTTTGTTCTCCATTTGCTTGGTAAATCTTCCTCCATCCCTTTATTTTGAGCCTATGTATGTCTCTGCGTGTGAGATGGGTCTCCTGAATACAGCAGACTGATGGGTCTTGACTCTTTATCCAGTTTGCCAGTCTATGTCTTTTAATTGGAGCATTTAGTCCATTTACATTTAAGGTTAATATTGTTATGTGTGAACTTGATCCTGCCATTATGATATTAACTGGTTATTTTGCTTGTTAGTTGATGCAGTTTCTTCCTAGCCTCGATGGTCTTTACATTTTGGCATGTTTTTGCAATGGCTGGTACCGGTTGTTCCTTTCCATGTTTAGTGAAGGCCATTACATAATGGTAAAGGGATCAATTCAACAGGAAGAGCTAACTATCCTAAATATATATGCACCCAATACAGGAGCACCCAGATTCATAAAGCAAGTCCTTAGAGACTTACAAAGAGACTTAGACTCCCATACAATAATAATGGGAGACTTCAACACTCCACTGTCAACATTAGACAGATCAACGAGACAGAAAGTTAACAAGGATATCCAGGAATTGAACTCATCTCTGCAGCAAGCAGACCTAATAGACATCTATAGAACTCTCCACCCCAAATCAACAGAATATACATTCTTCTCAGCACCACATCGTACTTACTCCAAAATTGACCACGTAATTGGAAGTAAAGCACTCCTCAGCAAATGTACAAGAACAGAAATTATAACAAACTGTCTCTCAGACCACAGTGCAATCAAACTAGAACTCAGGACTAAGAAACTCCATCAAAACCGCTCAACTACATGGAAACTGAACAACCTGCTCCTGAATGACTACTGGGTACATAACGAAATGAAGGCAGAGATAAAGATGTTCTTTGAAACCAATGAGAACAAAGATACAACATACCAGAATCTCTGG